CCGGAACCGACGGCCGGCCGGTTCGGCTGGTTCAAAAAATAATTTTTAAAAAATACTTCCGGCCAAAAAAAAAAAAAAAAAAAATTACCTTGTTGGAGAAGAATCCTTTGCCGAGGCCGTAGAATTTTTTCGACATTTTTTTGGATTTTTTTTGACGCTCGAATCGTTCGTTGAAGTTCAGAAGTTTAGAGAGATAGAAAGTTTAGAGAGATGAAATCAAAAAAAGGGTTAAGGGCAAAAGAGTAATTGGGGGGGGGCGGTGACTAGTAAAAGGGGGACGGTGAATAGCGATTGAGATCTTAAATCGTATTTCTCCACCCCCTACTAGATTCTACCACTCTCACTAATTTGACACACGCATACACCCACAAAAGATATATATAATAAATACAGACATTCAGAATTAAAGAGAGGAGAAAATTATTATAATTAGATTTGAAGAACCCTTTACAAAACATTTGATTCTTTTCCAAATCTCATCCATTTATGATGGCTTCGAACTCCATAGCTTCAAGACCATCCTCTTTGTTGACGAGAAATTTTAAGAATTATAGTGCTCGTGGTTCTGCTATCTGCTGCGGCCCCATAAAATCCGTCAATTTTCAAAGTCCCATCACTCCATTTTTTTCCAAATTTTGTTTGAAGAATGGGCCAACAATTTCTTCATCTGTTTCGGCTAAGGCCTCCTCTCCATCAACTTCTCCTTCTACGAGTGTTCAGTCCCCAGAACTGAAGGTCCAATTTTGTTTTCTGTTAAATGTTTCATCAGCTGCATAAGTGTGCGCTTAATTGAACTGGGGTGCAATTTTCCTGACTAAATTGGGTTTGGTGATAATGTTCATTTTCAACCTGTTTTATGTGTGCTTTAGCTGCATTAATGTAACACTGTGTGCCTAGATTGAAGTGGAGAGTCATCTTTTAATTGCTAACTGGGTCCTCTCTCTATCTCTAGATTAAGACTATGCCCACAAGGCCAATTGAGGGTCAGAAGACTGGTACAAGCGGCCTTAGGAAGAAGGTGTAATCTTCTTCTTTCTTACTTAAATTTGCTTATGGCTGGATTCAACATTGATCCATGTTTGAAGAAGTTTGATGCTTCGATTATTGTTTAATTAATTAGGTTATGTTTTGCCTCTGGTAGGTGAAAGTTTTCATGCAAGATGATTACCTCGCCAATTGGATTCAGGTACTTGACATTTTAAGGGGGGTGTATTAATTCTGGATTCTTTTAGTTTCTTCAGGAGAGAATGAACGATAGAATGATACTGGGCCACATTTTTTGGTAAACCTATCAATGTTTCAATGGTGGTGACTTGTATTATGCTTATGAGAGGTTTTATGTTTTATATCGAAAGGCATTGTTTGACTCACTGCCTCTGGAGGATTACAAGAACGGAACTTTGGTCTTAGGAGGTGATGGTAGGTACTTTAACCTGGAGGCTGCACAGGTATCTAATTTGAGCTGATCAACTAACTGAGTCATTTGTTATGGCCTTTTTACGAATGATGATGTGAAAAAAATGCAGATTATTATTAAAATCGCCGCTGGCAATGGTGTTGGAAAAATCTTGGTTGGCAAGTGAGTTTCTTTGTTAAATTATTTTTAAGTTCTATGACAATGTATTGTGTTTCTGTATTTTTTTCCTCTGTTTTATTTTTGCGAAATTTTTAATTTGTTTGATTGGCTAGAGGTAGTTTCTACTTTATTTGTTAATATTACCAGGAAATGGAAATTTATTTGTCCAGACATTTCTGTCGGAAATATTTGAAAATCTTTGACTGGATGACAATAAGTAGAAAGATAAATTATTTGGCTGCAGGGATGGTATAATGTCTACACCAGCTGTTTCTGCTGTAATAAGGAAGAGGAAGGCAATATATCTATAATTTTTTTTTTTCTTTTCAAATATTCATTTATATCTGTGAGCCATAACATGTAAATCTTATGATTAATGCTCATAGGCTGATGGTGGTTTTATAATGAGTGCAAGCCATAATCCCGGTGGTCCAGATTATGATTGGGGAATCAAGGTTTTATAACGGCTCTTACTAGTCATAGACGAGCTCTAGTGCAATTATGCACTACTATAGTTTAATGTTGTTTAATTTTTGCTTATACAGTTCAATTATAGCAGTGGCCAACCTGCTCCCGAGTCGATAACGGATAAGATTTATGGAAACACTCTTTCTGTATGTATTTTTTATTCGACCATCTTTTTGTACTTCATATAATCATATCTCTTGGCGGATCAGAATATGGGCCACTTTTCAAATATATTATTCATCAATAGGAAAAATAAATGATTCAAAACAATGATATGGAAAACACCTTGTTGGTTATATTACATTAACAATAAGAAACAAATGATAAGATTCTAATGAGATCGACTTCTGGAGGACATTTTTTTTGAAAATATTGATATTTTTCATATTGTGGGGTGATAAAGTGGTATTATCATGCTGCTTTTCTAACTGGTCAGTGGCCAATCTGCTTTCTGTTCCCTTTTCTTGGTTTCGTTCTTCTCCCCTAAATCCCAAACATTTATCAGTTTAATAAATTTTGCTTACATTTTGTTGGTATGATTTGAAATGAAGAAGTTGGCATATCATTTGTGGTAAATTTTGTTTGTTGAGAGGGCCGAATATTCAAATAGTTGTAATCACTGTTAGGTCTACAAATGAAAAGATATGCACCACGATAATTTATTTAGATACTTACGTATTTGCTTTTAAGATTACAATTTAAAATAGTTTCTTAGATTTCTGATTTTGATGATCTTTTATCATGAACAAACAGTTTGGCATCTCTATTTTACTCGCCTTAAGTGTCATGCAGATATCTGAAATAAAAATTGGAGATATTCCCGATGTCGATCTCTCTCATCTCGGTCAAATAGACTATGGAACTTTTAGTGTGGAGGTAGTCGATCCTGTAGCTGATTATCTGGAGCTCATGGAGGTCAGCAATTCGCTATTCAATGTTTTCTTAAACAGATTATTTTCCTTTCACTTTTTCTGCAAATCAACATTTTCGCAAGATCTCCTGCAGAACGTATTTGATTTTTCGCTTATCAGGAGCCTTCTTTCGCGGTCAGATTTCAGGTATATTAATATTATGCTTTGTAAATTATAAGTGATTGTGTTTTATGTTTATTTTAGGACTTGCAGTTAGTGTTTGATGTTTGTGCGTGTTCTTTTATTATTGTGTGGCGCTTTCAACTTTTATGTTTTGAAAGGTTAAAGATTTAAGTCTAACTTGATGGTGGGTGTGGGCTTGATGAAATATCAAGAATAACATATCGAACTCCTGGATAATATGTTTCCAATTTAGTTTTGTCAGGAGATCTTTCTTAAATCCTACTAGAAAGTAGAAACATTTTTACAGTATAATAATGAGTGTTTTTTTTATTTCAAGGATACATTGTCATGATTGTGATCCATGTGATTTGCTCTTTACTTACATGTGTCCTATTAATTTTTACCATACCATGTTCTCTTCATTTCAGTTAGTGCCTTTTGTTTGTTAGTTGTTCTTATGTTGTATGTCTTAACCATAAATGCACGCAATGAATTTAGTAAGTGGCAGATGGAATAAGCCATAGCCCTTATTTAAATGCTGTGCAGGTTTATATTTGATGCCATGCATGCTGTTACTGGTGCTTATGCTAAGCCGATCTTTGTGGACAAGCTGGGAGCTAGCTTAGTATGTTTTGCTCATTATTATTTTTTATTTAATTACAAAAATAAATCCCTGAGGTTTAGCTATTTTAAAAAGTCACAATTATCATTTAAACTACAAATGCCCTGTTACAGTGTTACAATTACCTAGCAAATACCCTTTCTCATGAGGGTGCAATTCGTAAAATAGACAAAAGAAAAAAAGAACATGTTAGGGGCGTATTGTGACTTTGGAAGATAACTCGGTTCTTCTGTGGAGGGTAAAAGCTTGGGGTTAGATTAGTGATTATTGTTAGAATTTTAAGATCGACTCTGAATGAGCAGTGCTATAAAAATTACTTCTCAATTGCAGGATTCTATAATGAATGGAGTGCCTTTAGAAGATTTTGGACATGGCCATCCAGATCCTAATCTCACGTAATCAATGATGCTTGTTGGTGTTTTTTTTTTTTTTTTTTTTTTCAAANCATGCATTTGTTTTGCCATTGACTTTTAACATGTTTCTTTAGATTTCTTATCATTTATTTATTTCATTCTCTTTTATATATTTGCTCTATTTTGTTCCCTTTTCTTGAATATATATTATATGATTGATTGACAAATATCTGTTGCTGTGGAAAGATATGCTAAGGACTTGGTCAACATAATGTATGGAGAGAATGGTCCGGATTTTGGTGCTGCAAGTGATGGTATGTTGCTTCTGTTTTGTGATACATTAGTTTTCTGAATAACGTTGTTTGCATTTTCGTTAGTATACCTGTGGGACTCGAATGAATTGCCGATTAAATATATAAGTTCAAAATGCACATCGTTAACCATTATCACTTTGTGTTTTTTTTCAGGTGATGGTGATAGAAACATGATTCTTGGAAAAGGGTTTTTTGTGACTCCTTCAGATTCCGTCGCAATTATTGCCGCCAATGCACAGGAAGCTATCCCTTATTTCAAGACCGGTCCAAAGGTTTGAAAACCATTACATTTATTCTCTACTTACTTTTTTTTTTTCCTCATAAAATTCATAATTTCCCAGCTTGGTTAACTTACATAACTTACAGGGTTTGGCTCGTTCGATGCCAACAAGTGGTGCTTTGGACCGTGTGGCTCAGCAATTGGATCTAGCATTTTACGAGGTTGGCATTACATAATTTCTTGCAATGGATTGCGACTAACTTTAACGAAGATTTTGTAATTTTTTGTTTCTAGTAAAAGTGATTTATGTTATAGACGCTACAAATAGTTGAAAACTGAAAGTTAGAGGTTTCTGAAAAATCCATACGAGATTGTATGCGTATTTAAGGTAAGAAAGGTCATTTTTTTCATTATGATAAATAAATTAAGGATTTGAAAGTCATGAACATACTCCTATTTGCTTATAACAATACCAAAAGTCATGCACCCATCCACCCCCGACTCTTATATTTTGATTGAATGATGCCACGTCTAAGCAGAATCTAACATTTAAAAAATACTATGAAGTGATTTTTATTTTTAACTGAACATTTAGAAGTACTTTATTGTTTCCTGGAGACACACTCGTCTGTATGATATAAAGATTCTTGTATTTTTCATTAATCATATTCCTTTGAATGAACCTTTTACTTCAGGTGCCCACTGGTTGGAAGTTTTTTGGGAATCTAATGGATGCAGGAAAGTTGTCAATTTGTGGGGAAGAAAGTTTTGGAACAGGATCTGACCATATCCGCGAGAAAGATGGGATATGGTGCTTACACACTCGACCACTTACCAAAATAATCCTTCATATTAGTTATCAATGCTTCTTGTTTTGGCTGCTTAAAACTAGTGGTGCTGTTAAATGTATGCAATGGATTAATCTATACGGATATATTTGAAAATAGAGATATGGGGTTAAAGAGATGATAAATTGTTTTCATTGCAAGCCACCTTTTTGTTTGGAAACTTGTAAATAATGGGCAAAAATGAAAAATTAGCCCTTTAATTTCAGGGCAGTAGCAACACAATCATGCAAAAGAACATTTTGCAAACAGGCCCTGCAACTATATAAATATCTAAAATTCTGGTCTTGCAAAGTGTTCATGTCTTGCAAAATACTCCCATGACTGGAGAAAGTTTCCAATTTCTATCAGGTAGGTCACACATGCAATTCCAGGTTTCTGGTGAAGTTTTTGTACCAAAATGGAAGATTTTGAAGTCACCAAACCATTTTACAAAGTGTGCCTTTCAGCATTTGGTAGGACAGAAAGTTTAAATATTAGCATAGCTGCAGGAATATGCTGCATTACGAATAAAATTTACATATAACTTCAGAATATACTCATATTAAACATTTTATTTTCCTAATAAGGGCCCTGTGATTTGATTTTGAATTGCTTCTTCTCTCCCTCCTTTGTTTTGCATTTGTTTTTCAAATAACTATGTTTAGCTGAATATTTTCACATTTTCCCACTCACTACTCAGCCTATGTTGTTTGGAGATTGACCTAGTTATTTTCCTTCCAACAGGGCTGTTTTAGCTTGGTTGTCAATAATTGCATATAAAAACAAGGACAAGAAAGTTGGGGAGAAGTTGGTTTCTGTATCTGATGTTGTGACGGAGCATTGGGCTACATATGGAAGAAATTTCTTTTCTAGATATGATTATGAGGTAGGTATTGTTGATTTGTTTTTTCTCTTTTTCTTTTTTTTTTCCTCCTGTTCTTTTCCTCGTCCACCATGCTCTGACCTACAATTTCTTCTACTGCGTGAGTTTGTGTTCAGGAATGTGAATCCGAAGGTGCCAATAAAATGATGGAGTATCTTAGAGATTTAATTTCTAACAGCAAGACGGGAGACAAATATGGTACATTCGATCTCTATTTACTACCTGAAAATTACATATACTACCTTCGATGGGATAATAATAGATTATAATAACAAAAAAGAAAAATGACTGACCTTCGATTTTTTATTTTTTCGAAAAAAAAAAGTAATGTTAGAAACCATACATGGTTCAAGGAATATTTGTAACTTAAAAGACAACTCTTTGTTCCTATTTATTTTAATTTAGTTATACTTCAGGGAAGTTTTACGTAATTATCCCTTTTTTCCCAACACTGATGAACATTATACGCATATTATTGCAGGAGGTTATACTCTTCAGTTTGCTGATGACTTTACCTACACCGATCCCGTTAGTTGAAGCTTGTTGGTTATTGGTATTCTCTTGTTCATTAAAAGAAAAGAAAAATTAACATTAAGTTTCCTTATTTCTTCAGGTTGATAGAAGTGTGGTTTCTAAGCAGGGCATTCGTTTTGTATTCACGGATGGGTCCAGGATCATTTTCCGTTTATCAGTACATATTCAGCTTCTCAATTTTATCAAACTCAAATCTTCTTTTTTCTTGTTGTCGTTGAAAATAAACTTTTAAGTACAATTTCTAGGGAACTGGGTCAGCTGGTGCAACTGTTCGGATATACATCGAACAATTTGAGCCGGATGCATCCAAACATGACGTGGATGCACAAATTGCATTGAAACCTTTGATTGGTTAGTTTATTCTTACCCGTAGATCAAGGCTATGTTTGGTAAAACTTGCTGATAAACTAGCTGATAGCTGATAAGCCAACTTATAGCGTATGAGCTTATAGCTTATGACTTATAGCTGAAAATATAGCTTATATGATAAAAAAGTATTTGGTAAAGCTGAAATAAAAATTTCAACGAGCTTATTTAAAAAGTTACCCAAAGAAGCTTATTAGATAAGCTCGTCCTACCAAACGAAGCTTATAAGCTAACTAAATGAGTTATAAGCTAGCTTATTTGTCTACCAAACATAACTCAAGAATCGCCTGTTTTCTTTGTGCTTACTAACACTTACAAATTCTGTGTTGTATTATTAGATTTGGCACTATCCACTTCGAAGCTGAAGGAATTCACTGGCAGGGAGCAGCCAACTGTTATCACATAGAGCCAAAAATAACTTTGTGAGTGGAAAATTTTCAATGTGTTGAGATGATGCCTGGTTGGGCTCTTCGTTTGATTCTATGAGTATTAATATTGAATCTGTTAATTTTGATTCATGTGTAACATAGGTATGCATTCTCGTATACTTGTTTCTATGGCTTTTACCATTTGAACCATTCTCGTGATAAAAACAACCAATAAGGTTAGTCAATCTGGCACTGTTTGGATGTTAGTGGATTAGTGTTAAATTAGTGTTAATTTTTCGATTTTGTGCATTATGTAGCGCGGATATGAGTGTGTAAAGTTTAACCAAAAACGAAAAAACAACTGAAACCAACCACAATAAAGTTTTGGTCCAGTTCTTTATGTCAGTCCGATTATCGGATTTTTGCTTTTAAAAGTTTGGTTATTTCAGTACAGTTGAAAATACATTAACCAATTGAACTATATAAGAAATATTATTATTTATATATATATTTTTACATGTATATTATTTTTTAAACAAAAAAATAATATAATGTATTAAATAAAAAATACTAAATATGTTTTTTTAATATAAATAATAATTTGTTTAAATTTTTATAATACGAAAGTTAGATCAGTTCAGTTTTTTGAAAATTCAACACAATTATTTCAGTGTTGACATTTCAATCGATCGGTTCGACCAAGCCAACCACGAACAACCTAAATGAGTTGACATTTTGGTAGATTTGTGAAGTTTTAAATGTGTATGCGTTGATGATTATACGATTTCTATTTTATGTCAACTTTGATTTTATATAATTTTATAATTTTTAAAATACAAAAAAATATAGTGATAACAATTAAGTTTCACTTAAATTTCATGCTTAGTAATACTTGATCTCCATCTGATTTTTTTTTTGTTTAAAAAAATATTTAAAATGAGGGTTTAGGGTTTAGGGTTTAGTTATGAATTATAATTAATATCCAATAGAATGAGCCTCACTTTTTAGTGAATCAAAGTAGAAGTACTGTATGCAAATTCCTGTTTATATCTTAGGGGTTCAGAGTACTAGTCATGGCCACGGGTTGGCCCAGCTCGCCGGTTCGACCCGAACCAAGCAAATCGACCCTTTAATCGGCCCGTGGTCAACATGCCCAGAACCAAGTCCGTAAATTGATCAGGCCGGTTCTGGGCCTCATGTATAAAAATAGTCGGCCCGACGGGCCGGGTCCGGGCCGACCCTTGTGATGCCCCCTCATATTTTTTTTTTATTTTTTTAATATTATCTTTAATATGTGGACCGAGTCGGTTTGGCCTGTGGCCCGGTATTGGACCGTTGACAACTCGCTAATCTGGGTTGTTGAAAGCTTTTGATCGTTGGAGATCCAACTGTTAGACTTTATTTTATTTTTTAAAAAATTCGGTTCCCCAGTCTGGGTCCGGGTCCAATTTCAACCCCAGCCGGTTCCACAACAGTTAGCCAATGGTCATATTTTCAAATCTGGNCTCTTTTCTAAGCTCTTGAAGTGCTAATTTTTAGCTTTTTTGCTCGGTCTTTTATAATTAATATCTTATGGCAAAGGGGCAACACGGTAGATGTGTGTTATTAATATATTCTATGTCACATTTGATCCTATATAATTTAACAATTTATAAAATGCAAACAAAATATAGTAATAACAATTAAACTTTAGTTAAATTTCACTTAAAACATACTTGATCTTCAATTGATTTTTGATAATTAATTTCATGCTTAGTAATACTTTGAAGATATTTTCAGCTCATACTCTGAGTATATAGCAAGAAAGTAGCAATATTGCAAAGCTTCACTATAACTCTCATGTATTTGCCCGTCTTCAAAATAATCTGCAAACTCTTCAAATTCATTATGTAAACAATTAAATTACACAATTTGATTACCACATTTCATAAAAAGTAACTATTAATAATAATCATAAATCATATAAGTGATGAACAAAGAAAAGTATAAAAATTTAGTTGCAGAAATACAATCTTATAAATCATATAAGTGATAAACAAAGAAAACTATAAAAATTCAGTTTGCAGAAATACAATCTTGTGGTGCAGACGCCTGAACTGCATAGAAGCCTTATGTTTAGACGTTTCACAGGCTTCAAAACTTTGTGTATTTACGTTTCTTAGGTGTTGCTCCATATAAGCTGGACGTTTCACTTTACAATCGAGCTTTCGAATTAGACGTTTCATGGGTCATGTAGCTTGGCATTAAAAAATTTACTCCTTATGTAAACTTAGCAAGTAGACGTTTTGGCCATGTTCTAGCTTTTACCTGAGACGTCTACTGAACGAACTTAAACTCTAACCTACATCTATTATCACTTTATTCATTCTACCATCCTAAGCAACCCATCATATTGTTTAATGCAACATATATTATGAAAGTTTAATGATCTAAGTCCTAAAATACCTTAAACACTAAAAAATCAAGAGACCCAATTGTGAGTGAAAAACAATGTAAACAAAAAAGGTTAAGGATAACACATTATTTATCTCTATTGCAAGTATTCCCGATGATGTTGCATTACTAAACATGTAGATTAATAAAGAATACTATGGAGATTGATGCGTTAATTTTTTATGAAGAGGAAGAAGGAGATTAGTGAAGATGTGAATTTTGGTAAAAGTGAGAAAGGAGATTGGTAAAGATGTGAATTTTTGTAAAAGTGGATCCAAAATAGGGGCAACAAATAGCAATTTGGGTAAAAATAATAATTTAGATGAAGTGAGTAAAATTTTTTATAAGGACAAAAAAAAAATTCAATTATTATTATTATTTTTAAAAACAAGTAGTAATTTGAGGCAACAAATAACAATGCCTTTTCATTCGAAACTCGTTGTTGGTACAAAAGGAGGACCAGAACAAGTGGTGTCCATTAAACACCCTCTCCATATCATCTTCAACTACACACCATTCCATTTACACAATAAATTTAATACCTTGAGCAATTCATTATTTTCCTGTCAGACTATATCAAGTGGTAGTAATAATTGAGTTATATTAATTTTGTAAACTAATATTCTTCTTAATATTCCAACAACTTATTCTTATAATATTCCAACAACTTATTCTTATTCTTTCAACAACCATTTTAATTAACGGTAAGATGATCACATTTTCCTCTATAATTAGCATCTGTTCATTTGATGAGAAGTGTACAGAAGGAATACGCAGAGAAGAAAGGGGAAGGAACGAAAAAGAAAAGAAAGAGAGAGAAGAAAGAAATGTGAAGAAAAAAAAAACGGATAAAAGGAAAGAAAAAAAATATAAGATATATTTTTATTTTAGTGCTCAATTCTCGATTCTGTTCCAGTTCGCCGGAGCTCGTAAATCTAGTGTGCTACAGATTTAGAAACGTTTGCCGTTGTATCTTTGGGAAAGTTATACCTGAACCGTTAGCTGCCACACGGGACGTATTCTTCTTGCGGAAAGAGTTTTACTCGCCTCGGCTTTAATCTTTTCGTTTTATTTTCAGTTGTAATTTATTTTTCAGTTCAATTGTAATTTTCTAATTTTTAAATTATTTGTAAGAACTGGAAAAAAAAAAATCAGTTCGTAAAATTCCCGTGTAATTTTACACCCAGTTTCTAACAGTGGTTTCTACACATACA